AACACATTCCTGTTAGAAAGGTCTTTTATTTGCATTGAGGCCCCAGGCGACATCACGTCATCGATTTGTTGTAGTGCTGTTTCATTTTCCAGGAGAGAATGTGTTCAACAAAATATTTTAGAGTTCAGTTGGGATTTGTTTGTTCAATATTTCCAAGCAGGTTTTTGGTTTTCCACATGAAAATAAAAGAAGAAGAAGAAGGAAAAAAAAAACTTTTGTCCAATAAGATTAATCATTTGGAATACTGGATCTTGATTGACCACTGTCAAAGAAGTTTCATTTATCTTGTCTAGATAATTAAAATAAATATGAAAAGAATAATGTTCAGTATGTTTTTACTTTTGTGGTTTTATACCACTTTTTAAAATTATATTTCTAGCTAAATTCTACAAATCTAAAGACACACTTCATTCCAACAGGACTGAAAGCACACGATCACGCCAAAGCCACTGTGAAATTGATGCTTAGCACAATTTTAAGGCTGTGTAATTACTATGTTTATATTAACAATGGATCAAATGACTTAGTAATGTGGAACTTTTTGTTCATGGGTGATGAATCTCTGAAGACATATTAACCAGCTCTCGTTTCCTTTAGCTATTTTGGAACATTTCAACGTCTTTAAACTGATTTGGTTTTATTGCCTGCCACATTACCGTTGATTCAACATCATTACACCCATCAGCCCCATTTTCCAACAGTCTGGTCACGACTCTTTGTGAAAAAGTTGAGATGCTTGTTGTAATAACACAGTTCCAACGTGAAGTGGTGGTTTGCTCCGTTCCGCGCAGCAAGAAAGCCTCCTGTTAGAATTGATTTCAGCCTTTTTTATTCTGCCTGTGGAAATGTGGGTTCTCTGGTTAGTCCAGTTTCCATCCACAATATAAAAACAGGTGATTATTATAATGACCAGAGGACTGGGGGTGTTAATGGTTGCTTAGCTTGTGTGCCTCTGTGATGATCCTGACCAGAGTGCACCCCGAACCTCCTATGCACGTGCGACACTTTGTTCTTATTTCTCAATCAAAAGTAAAACTTAATTACTTGCAAATAAATATTTTGGATTTCAACACAAAAGTGATAGGGTTCATGAAAGTGTCTACCACAGGTAAGATATTGACTTCTCGTAGCTTCTTCTCTGAACTCAAAGTAAATATATATATATATATATATAAAATAGCATACAAAAAGAAAACTACATTTCTACATAATTCTGGTGTAGTAATTTATAATAGGTTGTGAAAAGTTGAGAACCATTTTAACATATGGGACCGGTTAAGCAATTTTGCACAGAAACTAGCAAGACGTTTTCACCTATGATTCGTCATACAGCCGCAGCCTCTTCTGAGCTCATGTCATGCATTGACAAGATAGAAGCAGTAATCACTTTTGAATATACAAGTAATCCTTATTCACATCCATTCTATTATTAAATCTAGCTCTCTGTCTCCCCTCTGATCATTGGTTACATTCAGCCAGTGCTTGTTATTTGAATGAGAGGAGTGGACCACCCCGGGGAGGAATAGGAAGGGGGGGATCACGTTACGCCCAAAAAATGTGGAGGGCCTACAAAAGAGCCAGGAGACCTCGTGGTGAAGCAGAACGGGCAGCAAAGAGATGGGGAGAAATAGGAGAGCACATGAAAGAGTGCATTACAGACGGGGAGGGAGAGATTGATTGGGATGGCGAAATGAGGGGAAGTTGGAAGTGAGAAACTGTATCAGGTAAACATTATGGATGGATGGATGGATGGATGGATGGATGGATGGATGGATGGATGGATGGATGGATGGATGGATGGATGGATGGATGGATGGATGGATAGACAATATTAGAGACATGCATGATAAACAATCACCTAAACTTACATGTCCAGCCAAGAAAAATGTGCATTCATCAGTCATCCTGTACTTTGCTGTTCCCTCCCACAGTTCAAAGTTAGGTAACAAATGGCCTTGTTACCTAACTATCACAGAAAAAAAAACACCTTTATAAGAAGTAATTTGGAGTGTATTGCTCCACATTTCTCTCAGAAAAAGAAAAAAAAGAAAACTTTTGTGAAAGCTAGGCCATTTCAAAAAGCTCAGTTAAGTTTTATTCCCCGAAAAACAAAACTGTAACCTTCTTTCAATTTTTTTTTTCATACTGCATAGCACTTAAACCACACATTGTAGAAAATCTTGTAATATTTTGTAAAATATACTTATAAATGCATATTACACACTTGTCTTGATCGAAAATGCGATTTCCTTCTCTGGTATCATTTTCTGCTAATGTATTTTTTTGTTTTTCATCGCTTATTGAAATGGCAATATTCACATATTAAGATGGTAGAGGAGCTGTGATTCTGTGGGGCTCTAATCCAAAGGCCCTGTGTAACCTGTTAGGGATAAATTTGAGTTCTCTAAAAACCTGAGAGATCAAGTTTCTGGTTTCTGCTATATGCTAATCAAGCATATCAGTATACAGTAAACTTCATGCAGACCTTTAAAATCACAGGTTACTGAGCGTTTGCTTCTCCAATGTGACTCAGCTGTACAATTGGGAATGTAAAAATAGAAGAGGGAAGCTTATGCACTAAATACTTTCTGATAATCAGAATTACACAAACTTGAGTACAGGCTTTTCTTTCCTCTGCAACAGGAACAGCTGTGATTTAGGACTTCGTGAATCATGGAGACGCACTCTTCCTTTTGCCTTCATTGACATTTAATGATAATTATAACTTGGGTCATGTCAGGGGCAAACACACACACACACACACATATCTCACAGAGCCCACACACACACACACATACACTGCCTGGTTAAAAACGTGAAGACATTAGCTGTAACTTAATGCTGAGCCAGTATTGATCTACTCCCAGGGGCTTTCAAGAGTGAGGGAACACCAGACAGCACTTTATCACAGCACTTGAACATGGAGGGCGACCATTCCAAATTTATATGTGTGTGCGTGTGTGTGTGTGTGTTGCCATTTTGGTCAATAGCTAATATGAGAAGATTTTTCAAGGCCAAAACAAAACCTTTACCTATCAAATGTGCAAACAACAATGATAACCAATCAATCAAATTTTATTTGTATAGAACATTTTTGCAACAAGGCATTTCAAAGTGCTTTACATCACAAAAACACAAAAATACGAAGTCATAGAACACACAGTCAACATCACTGCACTTTTCCGTCATTACATACTTGTTTATTGATTAACGTTTCATTGATTATGCTTCAAAGGTAATGATTTAAAGACAATCAGTGTTTCTGCTGTTTTGCAGTTTTCTGAAAATTTTCTCCGTATTTCTGGTGCACAGTAGCTGAATGCTGCTTCTCCATGTTTGGTTCTGGTTCCGGTGATGCAGAGCAAAGCAGAACCAAAAGACCTGAGGGGTCCAGAAGGTTGATACAACAACAGGGTTAGCTCTGAAATACTTTCAAGATCGATTGTGATTGTATCAACCTTCCACAACTCTGCTCTGCATCTCCAGAACCAGAACCAAACATGGAGGAGGAGCATTCAGTTTCTAAATTTAGTGAGTCTGCCTTCATGAATAAGCAAAACATATAATGGGAGGAGGATATGCTAATGCAGAATAAAAATAATTAAAATAAAACAAACAAAGAAAGATTTGAAATATCCCATTAATTATCTTGAGCTGCAGGATTATCGAGTAACTTGCTCTCACAGTGCAGAGTGACCATAAAAGAAAAATGAAGTAGAAAGTTATAGACCTTCTAGTCTCAAGGACTTGGAGTTCATTACCAAAAACAAAATGTATGGAAACATGCAAACGCTTGTCAGCAATTAGGATAAAATTATGATTGCTTTAACACAAATAAAGATTGTTCTTATGTTTCTTAAAAAAAGGAATAAGTATTTTTTCAGGTGACATTCTTATTTAAATGTGAAGAAAAAAGGCATTTTTGAAATTGTTTTGATCTTTTGAGAAAAGTCTCATTTAATTAAAAAAAGTATTTTAAAACTAAATCTGTTAAGGATAAGTTTGGAATAAACTGTGGCCCCAGACAAGATTAGAAAAACTTCATATCTGCACAAATTACATGCGGCCAGATATATGGGATACTGTGGAGATATTGTAGATATTCACACTAGCAAATGTTGATTTTTTTTTTAATTTATTTTACTTCCAGATCATATTATCTAAAGCATAGCAAACTGTCACTTCAGACATGATCAGCTTTCTGTCCTGAAGAACCTGCCGTGGAACTTGCGGTGTAACGACAATGCACGAGCTCGGGTTCTCCCTAGATTCACGCTTGTATCAGATGGTAAAATGTTTACTCTTCCCTGAAAGTATGGAAATACTTTCTCTGTGAAACTGCATTTGATGACATGAACCGTTTTGTTTTTATCGAGGTCAAAAAATGAAATTATTCCTTGGTTATAATTTAACTGCACTCTGACTTTCTGAGGTAGAGCTTCTACTTTTATTTCAGTGGAATAATCCTGGTTGGTAAGGTTACGTAGAACACCAGTACAAACACAGACGTACATGGCCCATATGTCCTTCCCAGTTTTATCAGCCACACCCACAGCCCAGAAATCACCCACCTCCACCTTTACATCCCAGCTGTGGCTACCAGAGTTAAAACCTTGATAGCCGAGAAGGTTTCGACTACACATCCTCTCAGGGTTGGAGTAATATGGCTGATTCTTATCACTTTCTGTTGAACTGGTTAAGTTCTCAGATACAGTCAGAGAACTATAACAGGTGTTAGGATCCAAAAATACAGGAGCTATAAAGGGAAAAGAAAAAATAATGCTGAGTACATAATCTTTTATTTGTTAAAATACAAAATCTGATGGTCAAACAGACAAAGTCTAGTGAAGAAGAAACAAAACATTTCTTACTGTATGCTACTATTCCAGCCATCTTTTGTAAGACTGAAAACTGAAGGTTTCCAACATGTTTACCCACATTAACCAGACATCCTTCTGGGGTCTCTGGCTCTTGCAGCTTGCACAATGATCTGAAAACAAGAACACATTTCTAAATCTAAATACCTAAAGTTTACCTGCATTTTCTTTTGTAAGAATGATATCACCTGATTTGTCTTTTCATTTTGGTCTTTAAAATAACAGTACATAACTTTGTATTTTTGTCTGTCTGATGACATCATTTTAAAATACTACATCAGATCCTACATCCAGCTTAAGTAGCCTTATCACCAAATACTTTTGTACTCTTGCTTGAGTGATTTCTTAGAAAACAACTTCTCACTTTTACTTGATAAACATGTTGAGGTGGTTCTACTCGTACTTGGAGTACAATTTTTTGACAAACCTACCCTCCTCTGGTTGATTCCAATATGAAGAGTTCAGAAAACCTTCCTTTCCAGTGTTGATTTTGCACTCTATCAGAGAAAAAAAAAAAAAAAAACACAAAGCAAATATTAAAATAATTTTTGTTTAAGTTTTTTTTTTCTTTTTTTTTTGCTTTAACACATTTCATTAGTTACCAGGATGAATGAGAGGTCTTCTGCTCTCATCTGATCTTCTATGGTTTTGATTTTTTCCTTGAGCTCAGAAATCTCTGCGGTTAGGTTTGTAATCCTGACATTCATTGCGTCACTCTTAAGTTTTGCTTCTCTCCGACAATCATCTATCCGGCCTGCCTCCTCATTTCTCAAGAAGTGATAAAGTTTCTGAAACTCTCCTTTGATGGTTTTCTCTGTCTGCTGAGCCTGTAGCTGAGGAGGAGCACAAATGACAGCAGAATAAGTTTTGATAAGTTCTTTTAATGTGCGCATGTCACATCTACAGCTTACCTTGATGAGTGTCGCCATATTCTCCCAATCAGTTTTTTGCTTCTCAAAAACTCCCTGCTTAGTTTTCAGGCTGCTAACATTTGTCTGGATTTTAACCTGTAAAAAATATCTGTAAACTTAAAGCTGCAAAAATCCTTATTGCGCTTTTGTAGCACAAAAGAAACAATAAAAATGTCAAATCTTTTACTTCGATACCACATGCTACTTACGCGGTACTCCTCTGCTGCTTCATTAATGGGAACACATTTGTGTTTTGTGTGTGTTTTCGAATCCCGACAGATCACACAGATGGGTTGTTGATCGACCTGACAGAAGAGTTTGAACTTCTCACCATGCAACAAACAAATCTCCTTGGATCCAGCTCTCTTGCTCCTCTCCTGCCTCAATGAGTCAGACAGATTTCTCAGGGCCAGATTTCGAGGCGGATGAGTCATATGAAACATTTCCTTACAGACCGGGCATGTCCTCTGTGAGCTCTGTCTCCACCACTCCTGTAAGCAATGCTGGCAGAAGCTGTGGCCACACAGCAACAGAACAGGATCAGTAAATATGTCACAGCACACAGGACATGTGCACTCGGCCTCAGACTGTGGGACGTTTGAAGCCATCTTGCTGATCTCTGCTTTTAGCTTGTTTTCCTCGGTTGGTTTACTTTCACTTCTACGCCTCACTTGTGTTTGACAGGAAAGGTTCTGAAAATTAAAAGTAGACAAGCTTCTTTAAAACATGTCAACTCCCCAGCAACAGTAATAACTTTATTTGTTGGATTCTCTACCTTTTTTGACTTAAAAAAAAAAAAAAGAAAATATGAAGATATGCTGACAGCCTTACCTTTGCCTTACATACACCTGTCGTCCAAGGAGGAAGTGGGAGGAGCACCTTTTTTTTTATTATTCAAAATGTTCTTTAGTTAAAACAAGATCATCAACAATTACATTATTAAAGTTAAAAAATATAATAAAATACCTGGCTCTGAAAATCAATGTGCATTCAGTGTAAAGCTGGAATGAAGTTATTTTATTTTATTTTCATTTCTGTGTTTTGTTTTGTTTAGTTCGCTACAAAATAATGTGGTGTTCGTTTTTTTTTGTTTTTCCATCTCACATGCAATGGTCTTAAAAATGCATGAATAATTTTAGAACAGGGATATCAAATTAAAATTTAAAGAGATCAAGTCAGTGGCATTTTTTCCAAGCCGTACGGAAGATCATAAAGCCTATTTATTTGGTGGATCACATAAGAAAGGTGAAGCATCAACATCTGTATCCACTGATTTGATCATGAAATCTAATGAATTCAGTCTAATTCAAATTCTTTTGGAAAATATTTATTGTCATCCAAAAAAGATAACAATAAATCTTTTTGGATGACAAAAAAGATTTTTGTCAACGTGGCCATTATGAGACTTTGTCATTCCCTCATTAAATGCATCAAGCATTTTTCATTTATTTGACACCGCCATTTGTCTGCTTTTCTCCCGTTTTATGTCTGATTTGTCTGTATCTCTCCTTTTTTATCACCTCACTCATCCACATCCCATTGTTATCATTTCACTATCATGCATTTCTCATTTTCTTGTTGATATCGCTCCTACTTATTTTTCATGCAAAACAAGCATAAGGTGTCTGCTCACCCATGGCTCATATAGTCCCTGGGTTAAATTAAAAATAGAAACATGCACAGACAGTTTAAATAATCCAGCTTTCACAGTAAAAAGCGGCTTTACGTAATGTGAGTTAAACGTTACATAAAGTTTGAAAAATGCAACCAAACAGACCTTTTATCTCATTCCTTTGTCACATCTTCGAGCCAAATCTCTCTCTGAGGCACATTTTTCTCATAAAAGCACACTCACATGCTGCATAAGCTGGTTTCTGAGCAGTGAAATTTACAAGTGATTTGCCCCTTGACTTTTGTAGCAAGAGCTATCAAAGGCTAAATGTTTTAACATGGAAGCATATGGCCAACCACATGTATGTGCAGTCTCCTTTCGTTTTCCTGAAGCACACATTAAGCAGAGAAACTAAGTATTTAACCATATTCTGATCTGCTTCGTTATGACCCACGATAATCTCATTTTTTTTTTCCCTCTCGTAATTTCTGTTAAAAATATATCATTAGTGTTTAAGTGCTGGGGTTAGCTGTCAGAGCAATAGGTTATCTCAGTCTGTCACCAAGTGAGCTCGGTTACATAACTTTTCTCTTTTCTTTCCTCTTCCAGGCCAGTGTAATTATTACAACTGGGAATAGCAGAGAAGGACTAGCTGTTTCGTGTGACTGTTCCTATGCTTAAACGCTGAATCTATAACCATAAAACATTCGGTGAACGCAAAGCCAAGATTTCTGAATTTGGCCCCTGTAGCCTCCCCAGAGGGCCGCAGTAAAACCGTCCCAAGCCGCCATTAGGTGGAGACGGCTGGGGGAAATATCGAGCAGGGATCGGGACTGATCGTGAGCAGTGGCGCAGCTGATGGTAAACTAATTCTGATGTCCCGCCCCTCCTCTCCCGTCCCTCACACACAAACACGTAAGCTTGTACACTCGTGAAAAGTCTGCTAAAGCTTAAATGTGGGACATCACTCACTTATTTTTTATTTTTTTTTTTTTGCTGCTTTCCACTTTTTCTCTCTAAGCTGCTCTCACACTCACTTGATCAAAATCTCAATAAGTGAGACATCTGCTCCATCATATGCCTGCAGGGACAAAAGACTGGGAAGGAATTCAACAAAAAACCTGTTACATTTCTCTGCAGGCCTTTAGAGAAACACATTAAAAAAATGTTTCAATTTAGGAGACTTTTTCACACAACAAAAATCATGAGTGAGATCTGAAAGGGTTTTCGTACACAAAGCCTTGCTAAACCAAATCGATTATAATAGAGGATAATCATGAAGGTGATAGATTTCAAGCTCAATTTGAACAAAAACCTAAAGAATGCAGCAGGTATTTATTTGCCTTCAGGCACTTTTACATTGAAATCCCTAAAGTAAATTCATTCAGACCAATTATGATCATAATCACCTCATTAGTAATGAGAGTCTGTGTGTACAGTATAAATCCAGCTGTTGTGGGAAGGGCCTTTGAGGTTTGTCGGGAACATAAAACAAGAAACAGCATCAGGAAGATGAAGACTGACAAGCCGACAAAGCAGGCAGAAAGTTATAGAGAAGTATGAAACAAAGTTTGATTCTTAAACAATATCTCCTCCTTTCAACTTTTTCACGATGCACTGTTCATCGTGTGACACAACTGCAAGCCTACCGAGATGCAGTTGTCCAATAAACCGACAGGTCGGGTAATGACAGAATTAATCAGAGAAGCAGCCAAGCAGAGCTGAAAGAGCTGCAGAGATCAATAGCTCTGGTGGGAAAATCTGTTAATATGATAAATATTACTCATGCACTCCACAAATCTAGTTTTTATGCAAGAGTGGTTGGAAGAGCCTCTGTGTTGAAAGAAGGCCCACAATAAGCCCCGTTTTCACTTTGAAGCCGTTAATGTTTTCAGGATGAATAAAAAAAAAAAAAAAACGCTTTCTCAAATAGCTGCGTAGCTGAAAGCTCACTCTGAAAATCATCCTCAACACAACCACAAGAGGTGCAACGCAAGTCATTTGTCAGAATGGTCCAGTCAAAGTTCATGCCTCGATCCATCTGAGAATCACTGGCAAGATAAATGCTTCCCATCCACTCCAACTGAGCTCGAGCTAAAGTATTTTTTTTTTTTTTTGCAGAGAATGGATAACACTGTTAGATTCAAGAAGTGCAAAGTTAGCAGAGACATTTCCCAAACGACCTGCAGCTTTAATTGTAGCAGAAAGCAGTTCTGCAATGTCCTGACTCGAGGTAAGTACATGTACAAAGTGCTGAAAACAACAATATGCTAGATTCGGGCTTTGCGTGATTTATTTGGGCTGTCCTTATTTCAGGGTGAAATGATCCAGCAGCAGTGATTTTTGGAAGCAATTTTAGTAGGATAACATACTGGAAAAATATACACTGAGGTTTGTGGTCGTAATGAGACACAATATGAAAAACTAAATCAGGTACGAATATTTGTCCCAGGCAGTGTCAAAAGACAGCATGTACAATATAATGGGAGATGTTTTGTTTTCCAAACTGTTCAACTCATACTCTCCCCCCCACCCCCAAAAAAGAAAAAGATCATACACAGCAAATCCAGGAGGCCCAGATTAACACTGTCAGATTTGATTTCAACACTTTTAAAGTGTCTATATGGTGCACACCAGAAAGTGTTAATTTAACTCTTTTTGGAGAGTTAGTACCTTAACTCTTTAAAGTGTCAAATATCAAATCTGCTGGAGTTAATCATTTAACACTTACTAACACTAATTCAGTGTTAGATCTCAATATTAACTCTCACAGGGTACTTCTTTAACTTCTTAAGAGTTATTTGTAATTAATATTCAATAGGTACTTTATTGTGTTGAACTTTTAAAAATTCTTTGGAAAATAAACATTTAATAAAGAGGCAATGATTTTCTCAAAGGCATTTATTTCAAAACATGCACCACAATTACAAAACATATTACAACGTGGAATAATGTGCATGTTTCACATGTCGCTTTCTTTCACATAAAATAATTAATGAAGGACATTTAAGTGTCACGTTTTTATTTCAAAAGTTACCAGAGTAGCAGCAGCTTTGCAGCAGGTCATTAAAGGAATTTACGATGCGCTAAATTTATCCTTTGTTCTTCTTTGTGGCGGCTTGCTCTGGCAGTTAGAGAGGGCAGAGCCCTGCAGAGAGCTCATTATCACCGCAGCCTGGGATGTTTCACACGTCGCGCCTCCGTCCCATCAGCAAACATTAATTTGTTACCGTTGCTCCGGTTGCATTCTGTATACTGTGGCACAACGCGGCCCGCAACACTCCTGACTTGTTTCTACGCCTTACGAACCTGAAATAAACAACCCCCGTCCGCCATAACATTTGGCGAACCAATTTGAGAAGGCAGGCAGGCACAGGAAGAGGCGAGGTATAGATTAGCGGTAGTAATAATCATAAATCACGTCTGAAATGCTGCCATGTCACATGCCACACCGCGCCACTAATGACCAGGCCCATCTTTCACCGGGTATTTTTATCTGTGTGCCCTGACACTCGACTTTTGGAATCGTCCTCTCGTTTTACGTCGTCAGCACCTCGACCAAGCCTGTGCACAAGTTCTTCACATATCTATAAATACCAGCCAGCCGAATGGCATTTTCTCCCACCCGCCTCCCTCTGCTTGGCAGGAGCCCGGAGCTCTGTGACTTGGCACACGGATTTTGCGGCCATTACGCCACTGATCGTCTTGGGGCTTGAGCCGTCCACGCACACTCACACACACACACACCCACCCACACACACACCTCCGGGAACCCACTGGAGAACAAAAAAAAAAAAAAAAAAAAAAAAAATGACCCATTTGTAAAAAATGCAAAATTCCGGGGAA